GTAGCTGAGGCAACACTGAAAAGACACCCGGGCAGTTGGTGTGGCTTCGATGGGGACAGTGGCGGTAGCCTTAGTGTCCAGCTTTAAAGGGCATGCAGGTGCCCAGTGCCCCCTAATGACGGCCTGGTGTTGCTATCGTTACCTAGTAAAAGCGTGTAATTGGGGAGAAGAGCAGGATCCCGTAACGAGCCAGCAGGTGAGGACTGTGAAGGCAAGTTCTTTAAGTACAATCGCCAAGAGGGCCTTCTTGCTCACGTCTCTAAAACTCTGCGGTAAGGTCTGCGTTCCAATAGTGCACATTCAGTCCCGCGCTAAAGCTCTGTAGACACAAGAGCAGAATGTCGTTCACCCCACGCAGACAGGCGTCAAGCCACTCCGCTTCCCCGTTTCCAGGCAGTTACAGGCAACGCACACTCAGCCCATCCCCAGAACCAAGGGTTTGTATGAGTTCTACACCACAGTGGCTGCCGAGGTAACGAGAGCTCAGATCCCTTCTCTAGTCCTTGCTTTTGGACATCTGGACAGTAATTTTTAAAGATATTCTCAGCGGCCCTTAAAATAAGTAAGCAGTATAGTTCATTGGTTCCTTCGTCACAGGCGTATATGTATTTTTGCCTTCATTTATTTATTATTTCAACAAATTATTACTGAGAACTAACTGTATTGAACGGCGGGGATGATACCTAGCCTCGAGAAATCTGTATCTTCTGGGAAAGACTACCAAACAAATGGTATTTGTGAAATAGCATACACTGCGTTTGGGGAATATACGTATTGCTTTAGCGCTCTGCTTTAGAGGAAACTATAAACTACCTCCAGCTTCTCTCTCAAGAGGCGTATGTTGTTGACGCTAATCTTGTCTTCTTGAGAAACTCAGTCTGAGACCCTTCCTGGATTTTAAGAAAACCTCTCCTTTAGACAAAGAGAATTTTTGTGAACAACACAGACGCTTTTAGGCCACACAACTGAGTACAAAAGCCATCATTTCATCACACAGAATGTACTGTGAAGATCATTTAAAAGGCAACCATTTCAGCAAAGATACGATGCCAGTTCCCGAAGGCTTCTGTTGTTCTGGGAGTAAGTCTGCCCTTGCTGGTTTCCTCCGATTGTTCTATACAATCTAAACCTGCTATTAAGTTCCGTAGCGCTGAACTCCAGTAATCCCAATTTAACGCTATTCATCTAACAAAGTGAGCACAAAGTGAGCGTATCTCAGCTACACGTTCGCCGAAGACAAGGCCCATACCGGGTCCCTCCCGCGCCGCATGTTTGCGCTTATCTCAAGGTTCTGCATGTAGGTCTGAGACACTCATTCCTACGATCGAAAATATACATACGAATGGCAAGTTAGAGAGTGAATATTGTGTATAAAATTATAGGGATTTTTTTCACAAGGAAGAACAGAATTAAGATTCTTTTTGTGACCTTGCAGTGAGTGTCTACACTTGTTACAGACGCCATTAAATAATCTCCCTTACTCGTCAGGGCCTCCGGCTATTTTTCACTGGCCTTTGAGGAGAGAGTTTCCAGCTTCCTAGCAGTAGGGTTAAAGCGGGATATGCTAAGGAAAAATGGATGCGGGGACACATGAAAGCCACACGGTGCAGAAGCGAAGATAAAATAGCTATCTCCTTCTGGAAAGAAAAAGGCAAAATAATTCACGGGCAGACAAGAAGCGAGTGGAACAGCACGCACAAGATTAAACATGAAATGTGCTGCGCATATGAATGTGGGGATCAGAAACGATGGCGGGGCTCCGTCTCCAGAAACAGAGGAAAGAAAATTAAATGGTCAAAGGAGAGAAATGAGACAGTTTGCTTTAGATCAGAGACTCATTTAAATTGTCTGCTGGCTGCATTTCCCAGGTTCAGGTTTTCTGGGGACACAACCTCTCAAAGAGTTTTGCAAGGTCTCGCTCACTCCATTTTCTGGGATTTCTAACACCTTTGAGAAAAGTTGAGAGATGGTTAGATCAAATAATTTTCTTTTAATTAGATCCTGGCGCGCGTGTGTGTGTGTGAGTGTGATGTGGGTACCTGTATGTTCGGTTTTAAATTGCCTTGAAGATACTCATTTTAATCCAATTCTGCAAGACACGTACTTTTTAAAAAGTAAAAGCCTCAGGAAGAGACTCGTCAAGCAAGTTGCGCGGAGCTACGCAGCCAGCAGTGGAGGGGTCTCACTGGAGGGGGAATGAGCTGATTTCAGAAGCTCCCTCTCTTGGTTACTAGTCTAAATGGACTCAAAAAAGACAACTGTCTCCACAACATCATTTTTAACAAAGGCATAGCTTGTCGATTTTATTGGCTATTAAAACTTCAATATTTTAAATTTTCAAAATATTTTTTTTCTCTCATGAGATTCCTAAAAAGGTTTGCATTTTACAATTCCATGATTTTTCTTTTTTTTATATATAATTTTTTTTTAAATATATCTTTATTGATTTCAGAGAGAGGAAAGGAGAGGGAGAGAGAGATAGAAACATCAATGATGAGAGAGTCACTGATCAAACCCACAACCGGGGCACGTGCCCTGACCGGGAATCGAACCCCAATCGCCTAGATCCTAGATCGATGCTCAACCGCTGAGCCATGCCCGCCCGGGCTATATATAATTTTTAAAAATACGTTTTTATTGATTTCAGAGAGAGGAAGGGAGAGGGAGAAACATCAACAATGAGAGAGAGTCAATGATCGGCTGCCTCCTGCACTCCCCCCTTGGGGATCAAGCCCAAAACCCAGACATGTGCCCTGACCTGGAATCAAATCTCCATCTCCTGGATCCTAGGTTGATGCTCAACCACTAAACCACACCAGCTGGGCTCCATGATTTTTCTTAAAGTCATTGTCATTTCAATAGTGTCTTAGTCTATGTCAAAATAAAGTTAATATTGCAAATGCCCCATGCAGTCCATAAAATCTTAGGAAAAGGAATGTGAGGGTTTAAGATACCTTTTGAGTTCAAGTTAGTACCTGATGAGATTTATGATCTCTTGGGATATGCAACTGAATTACTCTCTAGACTATGAAATGATACCTTTTTTTAAAATTTATCTTTACTGTTGAAAGTATTACAGATGTCCCTCTTTTCCCCCACTGACCCCTCCACCCTGCATCCGGCCCACCCCCAGGCCTTCCCCATACCAATGCCTGTGTCCCTGGGTTATGCTTAGAAACATGTAAGTTCTTTGGTTAATCTCTCCCTCCCCACTCCTCCCCCCCCCCACCTTCCCTCTGAGATCCCTCAGTCTGTTCCATGCTTCTATGTCTCTGGGTCTACGTTGTTCATCAGTTTATTTTGTTCATTAGATTCCACATATGAGTGAGATCACGTGATATTTGTCTTTCTGTGACTGGTTTACTTCGTTTAGCATAATATTCTCCAGGTGCCTCCATGCTGTCCCAAAGGGTACAAGATCCTTCTTTTTCACAGCTGCATAGTATTCCATGGTGTAAATGTCCCACAGCTTTTCTATCCACTCATCTACTTGGGGCACTTGGGCTGTTTCCAGATCTTAGCTAGTAGGGGTGCATAATTTCTTTGTAATGGTGTTTCATGTTTCTTAGGACATATTCCTAGAAGTGGAATCACTGGGTCAAAAGGCAGCTCCATTCTTGATTTTTTGAGGAACCTCCATGCTTTCCATGGTGGCTGCACCATCTGCATCCCACCAGCAGTGCACCAGGGCTCCCCTTTCTCCACACCCTCGCCAGCACATGTCGTTTGTCGATCTGTTGACAGAGCCCTTCTGACAGGTATGAGGTGATATCTCATTGTGGTTTTAATTTGCATCTCTCTGATGATTAGCAACCTTGAGCATTTTTTCATATGTTTCTTTGCCACATTTTTAATGATAATAAAACACATCATCTCTTCATTGGAATCCATTTATAAAGCAAAAATTGGGCATTGATCCCTAACCTCCTAATGAGATTAAAATGTTAACTAAAGAACATAAATTAGTTATGAAAAAATATTGTAGGTACACATGCCATGTGATAGCGATGTTTACATCCTGTTTAAAGCAAACATTCCTACTGAAAAATTCTGTATTCTATGATAGTCATCATCCACTCCAAAGGGTGCATTATGCATTCATAATAGGCAATTTGCAGCTGGAATAGCTTCACTTAGACGTGGTTTTCTGGAGGAAAAAGGACCCACATTTCGAAGGCCCTTTAAAATTGCAAACTATGGCTGAACACTGAACATGGCAGTTTAGACTTTCTTGTGGGAAATAAAGAATATTCTACAAAACAGCACACAGCACACAATTAGTCACATGTGGCCCATTACTGCTGAGGTCTAATACAGGATCACCAAGCCAGAGACTGGTATCAGGTCTGGGCTGAGAGCATATCGTGGTCTCTGGTGGAATTTCACTGTTTTCTCTCCTTAAACTGAAATATCACAGAAGACCACATATTTCTAATTTGGTTCTAACTGTAAAGGATTAACGTTTCCAAGTTCCACTGACTCGTTTGAATTCTCTGAGAATCTCAAACGAGCAGTTTGTTCAATAAATCGCAAAAGACAGAAATGTTGTGTCGTTGCAAAAAAAGAACACCAAGGACGAGATAATTATGTATAAAGTGGAAAGTATAATAGGAATTCTATCTGAGTAAAAACAATGCAAGTCCCATTTCTTGCTGCATCTAAGAATATGAAAATATGCATTGTGGTAAAAATTATAATTTACTTGTGCAGCTAAGTAGCAGTGTTTCTTCATATGTAGTCAAATTGACAAATTAATAAAAAGCTGATTAGGCCCCAAAGAATTAATCAGTAATTCATGAGGAGTCCGCAGGATCTATGCACAGTAGCACTACTGAGCCACTATCACAAGATTCTTTATAACCAAAATGAGATTTACAGAGTGGGAAAGGGCAGGATAAAGGAATATCTGAAAACAGGAAATAAGCAGATGCTGCCTAGAGAATCATTAAAAATAGATAAAGTAATACAGCAATAAGCACCCATTCGGGCCATGGACTTACCTTTGGAATTTCACTTCTTTAGAATACAGTGCCGTCAGCCAGTTATTCCTGCAAAAACAAAACATTAAATATTTTAAACATTAAAAAGAAAATGCTTCTCCATTTCAGTAGTGTCAGCGCACAACAGATAGGGGAGGCTTACTCTCCAGGAAGGCAAATAGCATATAAATTAGTCTAAGGAATTTCATCTTAAAATGAAACAACTTCTAAAATCATCAAGTTGCCAGTAAGATTTCATTAAGATTTTTAAGCAACATAATACAATTTTTTGTAGTGTTATAATGCAAGAGAGTATTTCCTCCAAGTAGGGAACCAGTGACCTGAGAAGGTACAGTTTACAAAAGTGAATGTCTTTCAGAACTTCAGAAGGTTACTGTACACACACACCAATCATTGTTTAAGAAGTCTCTCTCTCTCTCTCTCTCTCTCTCTGATGTTTTTGAGGCAGAGTAGTACGAAGTTAGGAAAATTCCTTGGCAAGCAGAGTGGGGAAACTGAGACAGACAGCTGATTCAAACTGGCCTCATCCAGCACCTGGCTCACCTGCCTTCTCCCTTGCAGGGCCACTCTCTGAAATATTAAGCCCATTAAGCCCTTAGGACAATAAGGTTTTAGTCAGCATCAAATAATCATAGGAACAAAGCCTCAGGTCTGTTGACCACAGAGACGCTGTTTTGATCAAACTAAAAATAGCATCTAGGCCTCAGTTTTGCTTCAGCTCCAGGCTCAGAAAAGCAGCAAAACCAGATGTGATGCCACAGCTGACTTCAGGACCAGCTGCAAAGACTAATGACCCCCTATGCCAGCACTGACCAATCAGTAGAGACAATGACCCCGAAAAAACACATCTGGAAAGCTGATGAATATTCTACTGAGATCCTCCCCTGAGATCTCCCCTAGAATTCCTGCCTTTGGAAATCAGATAAAAACCCTTAAGACAAAGGACCCAGGGACCCAGGCTTCCTCTCTCTCTCTACAGCACACTTGTAACGCTTCCCCCCTTCTTTCCTTCAGAGCGTATCCTGTGCTTCCTCTCCCTAAGTAACAAGGGCCTTCTTTTTGCCTCTGTAACGTGTGTCCTGAGTCCACGCAGCCCAGCTGGCTCACTTCTTCAGCCTCTGTGACTTTCTTTCCAAAAGGCTAGACAAACTTCTTGCTCTAAAGTTCCTTGCTCTGAATTCTTTCTTTGCTGAACTCAAGAACCAAGGTCTAACACCACTGCTAAATTTTGAACTGAGAAGACCTGTACTATTTGCTAATATTTATCCCAACATAAAATTTACTTTGTCATCATTTTATTGGTTTCTGACACTAAGTAAGAATTCTTGGGGTGACAAATGCCTTACTAATTAAGTCATACTTTCTCAATTTTCCTTTTTAGTGGCACTTATTCCTAACACTTCTTTCATCTGAAGAAAAGTAAGAGGCATCGTGTTTTAATTGGAAAAGATTTATAGCTCATACAGAGCTGGCAGATATACAGGTTAACATTACTTTTTTCTTCCCCTTAAGAAAACTGGTTACATGGTTGACTTCAAGATCAAGAAAGAACAATCATTATGAGACCGTTGTAAAAAGTTACAGTAGAGGTCACTGCAATAGAAAAGTCCCATCACCTCACTCAATAAGCACAGTATGTTTCCACTTTGGGGGAAAACACAACAACAATAAATATGTCACCTCACACTGTTAACGACTGTACCTATTGTTATAAATAAATNTTCGATACGCACAGTATGTTTCCACTTTGGGGGAAAACACAACAACAATAAATATGTCACCTCACACTGTTAACGACTGTACCTATTGTTATAAATAAATCTGCAAGAGCTGAAACAATCAACCAGACTAAAAAGACAGCTTGACAAACTGAAGCACCTGCACTAGGAAAAAAAAGTCATTTAGGTGCATCATTTTCACAAGGTGGTGCCATTTTAATGAGAGCGGGAGCTGTGGTTGGATGCCCAGACGCTGTCGCATTCGCCTCGCTGGCGTAGTGAGCACAGGCTCCCACGGCAAAGTAGGACAAGTGATGGCCCACGGATTAGCAAGGAGTCGGCAACAGCTGGCTCCTCTGCCTTCTGCTGCACTTGACTTCATAGGTTTTGGATGCAGAATAATGTATTGTTATTAAGAATTCTCCCCGTGGAAATGACTGTCATCCTAAAAGCTGAAGAAACGGAGAAAAGGAAGATGGTTTCGCCCCCCACACGCTGCTCTACCTCAGAAAGCATAGTCAACGTGAGACCTGCCTGGGCAACGAGAAAAGTTCCTGTCTTACTAGGACGACAAAGGAAACAGTCCCACAAGAATGGTTTAGACTAAATATCCCTACTGCTCAGATAACTGCTCTGCCTCCCCACACGTGGTAGATGGTGTTTTAGCTTTATTGTATTTAACANCTGGTAGAGATAGTGTTTTAGCTTTATTATATTTAACATGCATCTCATTAAATTAAAATATAAATAGCACTCTAGGTTTTATAGCCACGCCCCCAACTTAGATTTATCAGTTATTTTTTAGTAGTAGAGAGAAGGCTTTTGGAGGTGCTTTTGAGGATTATTTTGATAATTTTTAAAATATGTTTTTATTGATTTTAGAGAGAGAGGAAGGGAGAGGGAGGAAAGGAAAGAGAGAGGGAGAAACACTGATGTGAGAGAGAAACATGGACAGGCTGCCTCCTGCACGCACCCCAACTGGGCATGTGCCCCCACTGGGAATCGAACCAGCAACCTTTTGGTGCACAGGGCGATGCTCAACCAATTGAGCTACACCGGCCAGGGCCAGGGTTATTTGGTGCTAGCTGACTATCCGGCTGAGCGTAAGTCCAAACGCTGGGCTTTGGGAAGGAAAGCTTCTGGTCTCTCTTCTATGGGACAGGAAATCGGTCTGAGGGTTCGTTCAGTGGCTGCCGGGGCCGCGCAGAGGAACACAGCTCTGGTCCAGCCCAGACGCTGCCACCTCCCGCCATCCTGCCGTTTACTGAAGCTCCGCTGTCATGCGGGAGCTGCTCTTCCCGTAAGTCATCTTAGATGTTCAATGTTGGCATTTTTGCCTCAGTGCCCTGTTGAATGATGACTCTGCCATCAACACAAGAACAGCACAATGGGTTTCCTTCCTACATTCAGCTAGTCCATTTACATTTGCAAAGAGCCCAATTTCCTACCTGGTAGAGCATGGTCACCTGATGGATGGTGGAAATGAACGTATTTCCTTGGTTTAACTTGTCTTTTGTCCCCATGCTGCACACAAGAAGTGCCCTGTTGTATTCACAGGTGTATCCTTAGTGCCTAGCATGGAACGTCGGACGTGCTTAATACGTATTTTTCAATGAATGCATGGTTCTTTGTTTGTTTTTTTGTTTATGACAAAGAAAAATTAAGGGAAGAAAAGAGGGAGAGGAGATGGAGATGGGGAGGGAGAGACAGATAGAGGGACAGAGGGACAGAGTGAAGGAAGGAAGGAAGGGTCGGTTATTCCCAAAAATATGAGCACTGTACATTGTGCCAGTAAAGCTTAAACAAGTGGACAAGTACAATCACACAAGGCTTATGACTATAGGAATACTTCTCTTAGGGAAAAAGTTAGGTCTTATTTCATGGAGGAGCTCAGGGGGGTGAAGGTATGACCAGCAGGTAGCAATGAGAAAGTCTAGGGGAGCGACTGGAGCCATCACGGGGTTTAAGCCTCTCAGACAAGAGTCCTGCTTGCGGGATCTACCTGGTTCCTCTGGTGCAGCAGGAGGTGGGCTTTTGTCTTTGGCACAGTCTCTCTACTAGAGCAGAAGACGCTAAATTACTTTTGTAGAGAAAATGTCCTTTACAGTGGATCGATTTGCATGTGTGCCCTCGAGAGATTTCAGAGGAACTTGCTTAATAAGGGGAGATATTCAGTAAATAAAATGAATGGTCTAATTTCCACCCTCTAGCTAAGAATTCATACATTGGCTCCTGACCAGCCCCTAGAAATGAAGTAATTAGCTCCTTGATGGAGCATTGTGGTAACAGAGATAAATTACAGATTAAGGTTAGGTCCACGTTTAACATGTTGAAGCTTAGTATTTAAGGTTAACATAGATTAGATGTATAAAAGATTCGGCACTTTTCTGAAATTAACCAACCTGGTACAAGTTACCAAAGTATGATATATTTGCCTAGGTCCTAAATGCATAGACATTATAGTAACATATACCAAGATCTTAGTTAAAATGGTATATTATAACTTAATATTACTTTGGATAACGTCTTGAGTGATCACTATCCAAAATTAGCATATTTGTCCTAAAACATTAGGCAAAAATACATCAAAAGTATGCTTTGTTAGTGTCATTAAATTAATACTGTGTTTCAACCATGCTCTTAATACCACTGTTTTGAAACACACTTCAGTTACCAAAAACAGATTTCAGGCGGCTCAGTTTTTATAAGACTTATGAATACACAGACCTTCTTTTTAATGTGATTATAAATTTTATGGTGCAACAACAATAGCAGCCAAACCAAAGTGTGAGAAGGCAAGTTTTCATTTAAACCCAAAGGGAAATTAACCAGAACTTGTTCTGAGCGAATTCAAACAAAAACAAGGATTAGTGTGAGGGAGAGGGCGCAAATACTCGGAGCCACAGGACTGAGGCCACAGCCGGCTCTGGCCGCCCACCCAGGGAACAGATGTCGTCCGCGTGCGACAGGCGGTGCGGGAAGCTCAGGGGAGTTAGGAACAGAGTACCGGGCAATCTGGCGCCGAAAACACTGGTCTACAAAAAATATTGGGTTTATTTTTTTCTATGTAAAACGCAAAGTATCTAGAATCACTTTTGAGACTGTGCCTGTTTCTTCTCACAACACGTAGTATAAATCCGAGAACACACGCAGCCACCAGACCACCAGCACTTTCTCCTGACCCATTTGGTTCGAAGCCATGAACTCTTAGAAAACCCAAACTGCCCTTAACATTTCCCCCGTGAGTCATGTTTTGTGGTTTACTTTTTCCTTTCCACACATGATAGTCAAAACCTCAGAGCAATTCCTGATGCCCACGTCTGAACCCCG